CCAACAAATGTGCTTACAAATATTGGCTTAATATAAATACACTAGAAAGGGGAGTATTCTCGGACGCCATTATTGAATCCAGTCGCTGGGGCACAGAACACATAACACTAACGCTGAAGGCATATTCGTGTGACAGTTGACAAGATAAAATTGTTTTAATTTTCAAACGGTGACAGACAAATTTAAATAATTGTTTTTGAGAGAATATTCATAACCAAGAAGATTGGAGGAAATTGTTGACAAAACTAAATTCATGTCGGGCCATCAATTTAGTTTCTAGGGAAAAATGGTGCTATTGAGCAAGTGCACAGGATTTGGAATAAAATTAATGCAGCACCTACGGACAATCACAACATCCATAACCAAGAGAAACATTTCTCCTGGGACGGGATTCGAACCCGCACAGCGCACGGCGACTGATCAGGAGACCGAAGAGTCTACTACTGCGGCCACCGCTGCTGCCTAGTTATTGTTCTGCTGCCTTTCTAGAGGTATCTCGACAAAGTTTGGCATACAGGCGGTTCCAGAACAAAGTCCAGAGAATGATCGTCAACGCACCATTCTATGTTTGCAATGAAGTGATTCAGCCTGATATACCTCTCCTTATCATAAGGGAAATGATTCACGGGTTTAGTGATAGATACAGTGATAGGATTGGAACACACCCTAATGTATTAGCAAACCTATGTATTTAATAATGAGCTAGTTAGTGAGTAGGTTAAAATGCCCTTTGATATGTAACCGTATATATGTTTTGTGCTCCAACGCCTGAGATCCAGCATGGAGACGAGTATACTATATATCCCTAAATACACTAAAAACCAAACTTGTCCAAAAAGTTAATAAGTATAGAAAACGCGGGTCATTTCTTCATAAAAAATAAATACTTATAAACCCGTAAACTATTAGACCTTTACTGAAACAAAATTTTGTCATACAGTACCTTCTTGAAAGTGCTGGGAGGATTATTCTTCGTTTTCTGGACTGTAACTTAAAGATAGTAATTATTGTGTTGAGTTTACCTGACATCATGTCCAGAACACATTGATCCGGGAATAGCGTGGTAGAACAGCAAATCTTTAGTTACATCCCTGAAGCAACTTGGTGTAATTTAAGATTTACATGCAAGCCGAGCATGAATGGACATGTAACATCCGATACACCCCATGGCTATAACGGAGCCACTTGTTATCTAGATGCTTCCTAGATCATGACTTAATTGCAAACAGATAGAGCAGAGTTGTAGGTACTCATTATTTTTGCCGTGAGGATCGGTAGTAATTATCAGTGAATTATTTCTGAAAAAAATATTTAACAGCCGAGATCTGTAATACAAATACTATATACCGTTAAATGTCATTTTATGAATACGATAGGTACAGGTACAGCTTCTGGCACTTGACATTTGAGTCCTTTGGTATACATCTTCAACCATCAAATTTCTTAATCTTGAAATATGAAATGATGAATGAACACGAGAGAATAAACATAGGTACCAAATTCTGAGCGGCAACATATCAATAGTAATTAATAGTAGAAACATGAACGTCTAAACGTAGGTACTTGTCATCCTATTCAAGTGCCCAAAGTAATACTTGTAATATGCCGAATTTACATCTGTTAAGATATGATAAACATTTTGTGGTGGTTTGAGGGATCCCATTCAATTAAACTCTCTCTAGAATATCAACAAGCAGGTGCACTTTTGCCATTATGCTAATGTGCATAATCACTCAATTATTGTTAGAACCTTGGCATCAATTGAATTGAACCATTATTTTTAGCGCACTTACTCTAGGTCAGCCTTATATTAGTATCAATTCATTGCGTTACTATCATAGTCATTCATGGCATTTGATTTATGTTCAACTTTTTATTACCAATTGACATCTAAATGAGAGGCTGGTCATTTGACATTCTTGGAATTTATTCGATATACCTCTGAACTTATCAACAATACACATTATATGATGTCTCAAGTACCACCGATCCTTTTATCAGGAAGCAGTAATTCTGTAACTTAAGAGTTTTCAGACAAATAAACTGCTAATGAAATCGTAAGTGTCTGCCAGGAAAGCTTTGCACAATACGGTTTAAGCGGGCAGGTGTCCCAGCATTTGTGAGGTCTTTCTACATGCTATTGACATTGCGGTGGAAAAAGTAGTGGAATGGACAGATCTTTTGGTGATAAAATTTTATCATAGGAAAACTTAGGCCATCTACTGTAGAGGCGTCGCGCCAGAGATCTCTAATACCATGGGAAAACTCCGCCAAGTGCCTTAGGGTTATCCTAGATAAGGGTGTGACTTGGCGGAAGTATGAGGAAACATTGAAAACAAGATTCTAAATTACGTTCCGGTAAATTCATCGTTTGTTATGTAGAAAATCAAAATTAAGTTTTGTTTAAAAAACTGGCTTTATATTATTATATTATATTATTATGAGCAAACCGAATTGCATTGCAGCTCCTTGTTGCGTGAGCCAGTGGACTACACAGTGGAATACCTAAGTTTGCAAAGATTCCAGGTCGAGGCTTGCACTGCGAATAAAATTAATGGAACTTTTTCAGTGGTTTCAAACACTACTATTAAAACATTTCCTCTTCAAAATCATTGAAATCATTTCAATAGCGCCTAGACGTTTCCTCTACCAATAGCTGCATTTTTTCTCTTTGCTCTGTCTCTTCCCTCATTCTTTCTTATTCTCTTTCTCTTTGTCTTTGTTTAGTTCTTGGAAAACCAGGCCGACAGATTGACAAACTGACCGACGTACTTTGATACAAAGCCATAGGTCCTACGAACCACCTTGACAGACAATGTCGAAACGACTGAAAACTTTTGTTTTGTATGCTCGTCATTTCGCATATAACACTTTACTTTTTAAAACAACGTTAATTGTGTTTGGACTGGGTACAAACTTATATACTTTATAAGCGATACATTTAACAGGTAAGTAATGTCTTTTTCACCTCTGGTCGACCGCACGATCGATTGACAGATCCGCGAGCTGACGCGTTGTGTCCAGAGGATCAAGCGTGAGTGTTTTTTCACTCCTGGTTCACGATTTCATCGACGGGTACCCGGGCAGATACAACGAAATCGAAGCACCAGAAAGTCTGTCACGCTGTCGTCACTTGAGTGTACATGGTGGTGTGGGCTGATTGTACCGGGATGTACAACAGCTTTTATATTTAACCCTACGAATCTCAGAAATAATATTATCTTCTTCTTGATTTAACGTTCTTCTTCTTGTTTATCTCAATATTTTTCTTCTTCCTCTTCGGATCTTTTATTTCGTGATTCAACTTCCGCGATACCCCAGTATAAAAAGGACAAATGGAGCAGGTTTAGTTTTTCGCTTTACCAAGGAGCTTTCCCCTATATAAAAGATATATTCACCCTCACTTACATGACTATAAACTTTTTCCAACAAACAGGGGCCTTAGTAACACCTCAAAATGAATATTCACCAAACATCCCTACTAATCCACATTGTTGACTCATACAATGCATAAATCTTATTGCCAGCTGATAAGCTATATGGCCTAGGGCCACATGTGATTCTATGCACTCATACTGGGTGGCCAATATACTGACTGAGTTATGTCTCCAATATTTATAATATGAAATGAAATACATATAAAGTACCTTCATCTTAATCTTTCATTGGAAATTTGGAGTCTTATATGCAAAAATATTAATGCTTGTAGTATGTCACTAGCGAGCGTTAACGTGATACGATGCGAAACTTCATCACTCCTAAAATTCGACAACCTAACTTGCAAAAGATGTGCTTCCCTCCGGGCGGGGCAACGTGCCACCCAACTACATTAACGATTATTTTGATTCGGAAAATGTTTTCTGGGTGTTTGATTTTCTCTTTAGGCGGTGCTGTCTGATCCCGAGTATCTCAAAATTTAATAGTCACAACCTCGTTTGTGTGAGGATTCATACCAACAAAAACTATAGAGCAGCTGAAGTGCAATATTCGAGAATAGTGTTCAAAATATTCCGCACTAAAATCTACCAAAGAGAGATAGAAATAGTAATATACGGTTTCATAGATAATTTCAAATACTCAGTGAAAGACTAAGACATAAATATTGGATGTCTTTCGTTTCATTATACATATATTGCAGAAACAAGTCCGTTCAGTTATCTATTGGTCACCCTGTATTTCCACCCCCAATATATGACGTTGCATTCTTACCCCCTGGCATAGGACAAAGGACGGCAGTAAACGTTCTTTTGACCTCGGTTGGAATTTGAAACGGAGATAATCAGTGAAGGTCTCAGTTGGCCGGGGGAGAAACAAATGACGTAGCAGGGGTTCACCGAACGACAAGTGATTGGTTCCAGTGACGGAGTTACTAAATGGCAATTTTTTCTACTGTAATGAAGAAAACTTGAAAATAATTTCTATCTGTGTATAAAAATGATAGAGAATCCGAAAAACAGAGAAAACTGGTAAAATAGGATATTTTTCATAAGCTGCATGTCTATGGTATATCAATATTTTGTCTCCAAAAGGTGTATTAGGAGTTTGTCACTTTTTTCTGAAGATGTTGCAAAACTTGCCGTCTAAAGTTTAAACGTAATGAATTCTGGCACACACGTACTATCGAAAAGATGCCTAATACACAGGCTAAATATGACATTTTTGCTTTCCGTCTCTGTGACCATAACCATCCGTATTCAACATTTTCTGTCTCCAATGATGAAACTTATATCGTACTGATGATTGCTAAAAATCATGAGGCAATCTTGTTCCTGCTTGATTGGCATCGTATTTCTATGGATCATCTTGGACCTCTTTGAATTGCTTCTAAACCTTCTTCTTAGATAACCTTGGATCTCATCACAAAATCTCCGTGATCATACGAGTTTAGCTCAAACAACCATATACAAAGACAGTATCCTCAATAGGAGTTATAGTTATGGTAAAGCTCGTTGCGAAACATTTTCAAAATAAGGTGTACTAATCGAAGCTCTTTATTTCAGGTATGCAAACATTTGAGATGGAGCGATCTACTTCTATTCCTGGTAAAGTATTACATGTGCAGTGTTTTAATTAATCAGACTGTTTTATTGGTGATCAGTTTTTAATTTTATTAGAAAGTACCTCATTCTTAAATTTGTATTAACCACTTAGATACACAATGATATATGTTGTAGAATATATATATATATATGTATATATATATATATATATTGAAGCTTCACGACATAATACTCTAATGTTTTCTAAATAATTTTTAATCTGTCTTTAACTTGTCTTGTCATATTTTATATAATTTTAACCATTGTACCATGTATCCAGCTCTCACCATGTTACTGGACGTTTCCCTCATCCTATACGAAAACAACAATTAGCAACATCCTCACATACTACTCTCCTGATGATGATGGCAAAGTCCATTGAAAGCTAGAGAGAATTAAAAAAAGTATAAAGAGTCCGCTTTGCTTAAATTTTGTCGAAGTACCCAACAAAAGGCGGAAGCTTTAATTTTTCACCTAACTGGTCTAGACGACAATGACCACGTCTCAAGTTATATGGCAGCGCGTTGTTCTCTTTTATTTCGCCAATTGTTGCTGGTTTGTTGGCATAACATTGGTCTTTAATGGCACCCCATAAATAATAATCTAATGGGGTCAAATCACAGCTCCGAGGCGGCCAAACAACATCAGAATTTCGGCTGATAATGCGATCACCGAAAACACTTCGCAGAAGAGCAATCGTAGCGTTTGCTGTGTGACACGGAGCACCGTCTTGTTGAAACCAGATGTTACCGACATCAACATCTTGAATTTGTGGAAAGAAAAATTCATTTATCATGGTACGGTAACGCTCACCATTCACAGTAACTGCTGCTCCGGCTTCATTTTCAAAGAAAAATGGGCCAATGATGCCACCAGCCCAAAATCCGCACCAAACAGTCACTCGTTCTGGATGCATTGGCTTTTCTTCGATTGCGTGTTGGTTCTCTGAACCCCAAATGCGGCAGTTTTGCTTATTAACATAGCCGCCAAGATAAAAATGCGCTTCATCTGAAAAGATGATTTTTCGACCAAAATCAACATCTTCATCAAGTTGATTGCAGGCCCATGAAGCGAAGCGAAAACGCATTGGATGGTCAGTTGGCTTCAATTGCTGAACCAATTGAACTTTGTACGCCTTCATACCAAGGTCTTTATGCAAAATTCGACCTAATGATGTGCGTGAAATGTTCAATTGTTGAGAACGTTGGCGCGTTGATGTGCTTGGAGACTCTGCCACACTCTCAGCTACAGCATCGATATTCTCGGGTGTACGTTTTCGGTCTTTCACGTGTTGGTTTGTCAATAAGAAGACCAGTTTCACGAACTTTTTGCACAAAATACCTCACATACGGTGCTGACGGTGCTTCATTTCTTCCCATTTTTGCACGTAATTTTCGGACACAATCTGCAACATTACCACCACTTTCGAAATATTGTTTTAATATTTCCCAGCGTTGTTCAAGCGAGTACACAACCATTTTCGTTAATCGGAATGATATGACTGATGTTCTGTCAAATCAGATGCGCAATAAGTCTTGACATATCCCAAAAAACCAGTAACTCAAAAAAAAAACGATAGATGGACCACCCGGTATATATAAATCAGCTATATAATACAAATGAAATGAATAACAATATAAATAACAATTAATATAAATATAGCAATTCATCTAGATGTTTAATTCCATGTACGTACTCAAATCGGATTCAAATATATCACTTGTGTCGTTGGAGCAGCTGTCGTCCAAATCCATATCCGTCATTCCTCCTAAAAGACTAGAATCTGGATGCATCTTTTAAGACAATGGTATCTATTCGATGACCCAATTCAGCCGTTTTCTACACCAAGCTAGTTGATCACTTCGGTGCCTAGGATTGAGAGTTAGGACAAACTGAGAACGGTATGAAGTAAGTCCAAAACTGTTGATCCGGCGATAAAAAAAAAAATCGCGTCGTAATAGGCTTTTCATCCTCCCCAAACCATTGGTCGCAATTGACTTAGTGGAGGCGGCGATACAGGTATGTGGCCGTTCTTCTGACACGACGTGTATACCTCTAACTCTTGTGTACGGCTTTCCTGATTAAGTGGTGGTGGCTATTTTTCCAAAGGACCAACCAGCCTCATACAAGTCCACAATGAAACAAAATTGGGTACAAAAATATTTGTTTTTGTGGAATATTGAGCCATATTCATAAAACAAAGGGTATCCTTGTACTTGCAATTTTGAAGGAAATCCTCCAGATGGTATTTTTTGAAGTAAATGCTTTTGCTTTTTGAGTATAAGCATATCCTTCAAAGCAGTGACATAAGTAAAAGGACTTGGTATAGGAAGCATATCCTTTAACAATTCTGGGTGTGAGCAGTATCAGACTCAACTTCGTAACGAAAGATGGTCAAACGATGATGGCGGAAATTGTGGATGTTAGGGATGTTAAAACGAACAAACCTCGTTAACCTTCACTTGCTCGTGACTTCAAAAAATTATATGGGTTCGACGAAGCAAATGTACAAAGGCTTGGGGACAGATTTTTAGTTGAGAAAGAGGAAACTCGAGGAGGAGCACTTGCATGTATTCATAAAATGAAGATATGTCTACGCCATCTCGGTGATCCTGGATATCAACAAGGTATTGGTCAGGAACTTGGTGTTAGTCAAGCAACGGTATCTCGGACTGTGGATAGAGTTGTGAACAGCATAGTTGCACAGTCGAACGAATGGATCAAGTTTTCAACTACCAACCATGAACTGATGAAGGCCAAGCGGATATGGCAAAGCACGTATAAATTTCCGACAGCAATTGGTGTAATTGATTGTACACATATAGGCATCCTGAAACCAAATCGCCATAGAGATGAGTATATCAATCGAAAAAGGAAACCTACTTCAAATGTGCAAGCCACTTGTGATGTCAGAGAGATGTTCACAAGTGTTGATATCAAGTGGCCTGGATCATTGCATGATTCCAGAATATGGAGAAATTCACAGACTAGATTACAACTAATAAATAAAGCAAATGTTGTACTACTTGGCGATGACGGTTATGGTATTGAGACATGCCTTATGACTCCCTTCAGAAATCCTACTCCAGGCGCAGAAATAAATTATAATATGCTTTTAAAACAAGAAAGAGTTGACCGCTGTTTCGGCCAACTGAAATGTCGGTTTCCTATCCTACAGTATGTTTGCCGCGTAAAGTTGGAAAATGTGCCGAAAATAATAATTGCTTGTATTGTACTCCATGTTGTTGCGAAGAGCTTGGGCGATCCTGACTTTGAGTTGGTTGAACAAGACCCAGATGAAGATGAAGAAAATCATGAGAATGACGAACTTCCTCTCAGCCAACTAGGTCAACAAATAAGAAGAAACTTTAGTATTATAATAAATAGTTTTACTGATTAAAGTGTATTTATAAGTTTTATTTTCGTGAACATCATAAGTTAACAGGTGGCTTCTGACGCTGCATCATTTCTAATTACGTTTTATAATACTCTTGATGTAAAATACATACCTGTTTGATACTGCTGTAATAGTACTAGACGTTGCAGTTCTTTTGTAGTTAACCCTTTGGTTTCCTCAGTTTCGTATTTCTCTGTTGCTAATTTTCTTTTTGGTGGCAATGTCTTCTGAATTGCTGGCGCTGTAATACTAACTGTTTGCTCGCTGCGCTCGGTACATAGTTCACTTCCTTCTTCTTGAACACTACCAACCTGAATGGCACGTCTAATTTTCCCAATTGTAGGATTACAGTCACAATTGCACAATTTAATTGCTTTATTAGCAGTTTTTTTAGATCTGTTTTTTTCTTCAATCTTGATTTCATGTATTTTTTCAACATCTTCTTCAAGGCAACGTCCTTTCTCATTTTTATTTTTGGAACTTGAGCTGCAGATCGTTGCCATTATTTTCTATAGTTTCTTCATCACTTGAGGATGACATGTTTATTAATTTGATAAAACTGTATTCAGTAAAAATACGGAACGGTCTGTGTAAGCTCTGGAGTACAACTGTCAGTAATGCTGAGTGAACGAACTCCCACGTCAACTACAAGCTGGAACAAGTCCGTACATGTCGCTCAAGATACAAATACCAGTCAGCCTTTTACTTCTTCTTGGAGGATATCCTCGCAACTATAAGGTAATCATTATGAATATGAAAACAAGGATATGCTTATACTTCTACCTTTTTCACCGAAGCAAGGCCTTATACTTTTACCTAATGCTTCCGAGGATATGCTTCTCTTTTATGAATACGGCTCATTGTAGTACTTCTACTACAGACGTAATCGACAACTGTAACCAGTAGTGCAGTTGGGTGCAACGATTGCCTATATTCAGTATTTTACTTCTCGTTATTGCGCTGTAATTCGAGGAAGGAAAGACATTGTTATTTTGCATTTTTTATTAATGTTTAACACACGTAAACCAAATTGTTCCATCGAAATGCTAAATGAGGCCTCAAAGATAAATCTTTCTGATAGCTTGTGATGACAACTGCGACAGCCTACTGTGAAATGTAAATTTAAACCATCCCTTGACGTCATTGTTTCAGTGTTTCCAAGGAGATATCTGATATCCATTGTTTCCTAGGAAGCTTCACGCTTCAAGGAATGTCTATAAATCTGACTCATAGTATATTATCATAATTATAATGATATTTGGGATGTTTCTTATTTATAGTAGTTATTTTGCACCTTGAACTTTTCCCTAGTTACGGATATGTGCACCAGAGGCAAGAGTAGCAGCATCCACATCTCACAGCTGGGCGTTTTGCGTTGTCGCTGCAAGTGGAGGATCAATACTGGCAAAGGCTGCCACCGCCACCCCTGACCTAACCCATCCTGCTGACCTTCACCCCAGCATCAGGGCTCTTGTCTGCCATTAGACGCATTTTTTGCAAGTCGTAGTTGTCTTTTATTGATTTCCAAGCATATTGAGGGGTTAAAGTGATCGCAAATAATTTTGAAATCGATTCATGATGTCATCACCACAAGAAACATCGCAACTAATCTTGGATCTAGAATAAGAGGGGTGCAATGGGGGGCGATGAAATAATAAATTCATCATAACTTGCTCTCTCTAGAGGAGAAAACTACTCAAAACTGACCCTAGCAAAAACAGG